CTGAGTAAATTATCTACTAGAGTATCTGATGTAGAACTAGAATGTATGCGAAGTTATGCAATATTAAAATCACACACCTGTTGAACTTGAGCAATAATAATTATGTTAGCTTCTCGTGACTTAAACAAAAAGTTAGAACATTAGAATGATGATTAAAGCTTAGGTCAAATTACATGTAAGAGTTTAGAAACACGAATAATCAATTCTAATCAAGACTAGCAAGCATGGTGGAGTTTCAATAGAAATCCCTAATTTAACAATAAGAATAGTCGCTGGTTGGGTCCCTCACTCAACTCTTTTAATAATTGGTAAAACGGAGAAAGCATTGCATGATCTTTGTGATGCCAGAAATTAAGGTAAGACTTAGAAAAGAAAAAGATATGGATGAAAGATTCACCTTGATCAAGGTTTGTAAACGATCTGCTATGCACGGAGAAGAGTTGTTCGTCAATGGCTTCGATGAGGGTGAAGACGATCCTCTCTAAGCATTCCTCTATGGCTTGATCAATTTCTGGATTGATGTCAAAGAACGGTGAGTTGAGGATATCGACTAGACCTTGATCGTTGTAAACGAATCTGTGATCAAGTTCAGAATCCGCTATGCATGGGTAGAGGAGTTTATCAAAGTATTGGAGAGGGAGTAGTGTCGCTTCTTGATGCATTCATGTTTTAAGTTTATTTTTGTTTTAATGTATTTTGAACAATGTTAGTTGTGTTTTATATTTTTTAAGATATCCTATGATGATTGGGCATCCAATGATCATGGTAGGAAAGTGCTTGGGCATGACAAGCCTTGGATTTTCTTGCTCTTGGGTCCATTTTGTCCTTGGGCTGCTTGTTGTTTTCGGTTTGGAGTTGTTTGTTGTTCTCGGGTGGGGCCTTGGCTTCTTGGTGATGAACTTAAAAAGCTGGATTCCAATTGGTGTTAGCTCATAAATGTTTGAGCTGAAGTTTAGCTCAATGATTGGGGAATAAATGCACTTCCTAGCTCATTAAATCAAAAAGGTATGCTATTATTTTAAACTCATTATTTTGGAGTGGACTTATGTCTCTTCCCTTTCCTTTGTCTTTTCGATTTCTGTTGGTTGTTGTTGTTCCCGTAGCCCTCCCTCTCGGTTTTCCCCTCCTGTCTGTTTTTCCCGTGAAATGCTTCCTTGTCTCCTGTGCTGGCTCTTCGGGTCCCTTGTTGGCTGGTTTCCTGTGGCTGCTGGTGGGGTTTTCAATGGCTCATTTCCCTGTTTTCTATGCAGAAATTCTGTTGGCTGTTATGTGTCTTTTGGCCTTTCATTTCCCCAATTTTAATTGGATTTGGTTGGAGGTGCTATGGCTATTTATCTACCTTCTTTTGCCTATAAAATAGAGTTGTTTTGGAATGGAGAAGGTTGTTGAAAAGCTGAGTAAAAACTCTACAAAACCTGAGGGTTTCTCCTTTGAAAAGCTTGAGAGCTTGTTCCACCCCCTTCTTATCATCTCTATTTCGTTTTGGCTTCTAACCTCTTCTTCTCTACGCAAGTTCCACTCCACCTGTATCCTTCTTCTTAAGCTTTGGAAGTTGTATGTTGGCTGAAATTTGGAGACATTTGCCGGAGGAGTTTGGTAGGACGTTGGACTCTTTTGTAGTGGTGGACCCTCGATTTGCAAGCCTAAGCACAATTTTATTATATGTTCCTACTCTCGTTGCATGTGAGGAAACCGCTAGACGGTTATACTGAGGATAGCATTTTTATGATTTTATTTTGTTTCGTTTGATTTGGCTTTTGTTTCTTCGAACGTTTGTTTGGTTGTTTGCAAGCTATAATTGAATCGATTTTGGTTTATACTTTGTCCTGGTGTTCTCCAACTTGTCTCTTCTCTCTAGTTTGCTTGCATCACTTCTTCTCTCCTTTCTTCCTTAGGTGACGGATCAAGCCAAGTACAACGGTGGGGAGAGGAGTGGGTGGTCGGCCAAGACTAGGATGAGGAGTTCTTTCACAAAATTTGATATTGAATTTCATATTTGAGTAGGAGGGGATTAGGGTTTTGAAGTTTGAATTTCAAGAGGGAAAAGAAAGGCACTCCTTATTGGGAGAATTGATTGCAACTCCAAGGGGAGGAAATTAATATGGAGAAGAGAGAGGGTAGGGGGAAGGGGCCACCGGCATGCTTAGGTTTAGTGGGGATTGGGGAAGGGGATTAAAAGCTTGCCTTATCAAGAATCTTAAATAGGGAATAATTGATTTTAATCAAATCCAATTTGAGACTTAATCAGACTTGATTTAAGTAACTTTCCTAAAATAAACCATCATATTTTAGGAAATAATTTCAAATTCAAATTGATTGGGAATTGAAATAAATGACTTTCCTAATTCAAGATATTGAATAAATGAAAAGTACTAAATAGATATTTGAATTTTGGAGGCAAGGGAAAGGGGGATGAGGTCGGCGGCTAGGGTTAGGTTACGGTTGGGGCTAGTGGTTTGGAAGAGGAAGGGAACCTTGAAGCCGACAGTTTGGAGAGGTGAGGAGGGGCCTTATGGCCGGTGGCTTGGAGGTGGGAGATGGGGTGGCCGACCGAGTTTGGGATGGTGGTGGGGTTCGGCCAAGAGAGGGAGGAAGGAGATAGGGCCTGCGGTTTGTGGAGACGGAGGGGAGGAAGGGAAAAGAGATGGTCGACCACGAACCCAGACGCTTCCTATGGTTGGTGGGTATTGCGATGCCCTCACCTAGGGACTTCAATATCTCCAAGAACTCTCAAGCTCTCCCAAAACACACAAGTGCAAAATTTCTTATTATAATATTCATTAACCTCAAAAGAGGAAGTGGTGGCTTTTAAATAGCCTCATAGAATGAAGGGAAATAAAAAGACCAAAATGTCGTTAGGGCCTACATATGATTATTCCCTCAAATGAGGGTAAAAATGAAAAATGCAACAATAAACTCAAATACATGTAATACTCAAAAATAAATCGGTGTGAGCGTGACCATAGATCGTCATCCCCGCCTCTGGTAAACTTTCCAAGGTCGGATGTCCTCATCATTATCATTTTGAATTGCCTCGAAATCCATGCATTGAATTGAAAATTGTGCAGTCATATGGGAATTTTGATGATCCCAACAAAAAATATGTAAAAGATTTAGTTTGAGATAATACAACAAAATGTAGGGAAGTGATTTTTGTTGTAATCAAATCTCACCAATTTACTATTGCTTTCTATTGCCCCCATAAAATCCACACCAGAATCTAAGGCCCACACCAAAAAAAAAGAAAACAAAATGATAAAAAGAAAAACAAATCAATGAAGACCTACAAATAAACCAAGAGAACTGATATACATACAAAACAATAAGAAATGCTACAAGCATTAGTAATGCCTTGGATGGTGCCAGCTATTACTTGAGGTTACTTGCAGCCTCAAAAATAAAAAGATTTTTTTGTGTGAGATTTGAACCTCTAGTCTCTTCTTTTGACGAAAGCAAACAATAACATCTGAGAGACAATATCATCAGCCCTACGGTCAAATGGTTTAAGATAAAAATAAAAGATCATAACCAGTCATTAATCTGTGTGAAGAAAAACTAGCACAAATCAAATCCATGTAATTTTCAATTAGTTTACCATGCTTCTACTGCATCAAATCAGGCATATGGACACCAATGATGGTGAGAGCAAATTTCCATGATTTAAAGCCAGAGGGAGCCCTAGCAATTGAGATTTAGATATATGGATATGTTTTTAGCGACACAGAGTATGTTCAATAGTTTTACATTCTGAAAAGCATGGATTAAACACTTTACTGGATGTAACTTCTACTACAACTTTAATTAATTTTGATGCTTTAAGTACAATTTTATATTAAGATTGCAAGCAATTACAGAATGAACAGGACCTGTTATATCCCTGGTTCAGACTCAATCAGGCCACATGAAGATCTTGCTAAAATAAGCAATCCAGTCACCCGTAAATGCTCCGAAGAAAATAGATTTTTACATGCCATTTTAACCTTGTTGCTTTAAAGAACTATTTGCTGAACAGTAAGTCCATTCATCAAGAAGACAACATGTTTTCAGTTTTGTTTTACATATTTCATTTACTTGTGTTTCTTACTTCCAGACTGAATTAAGTCTAACACCAAGGTACAATTTAATTTAAGTTAATGTATACGCAGAAAACATACTAAAGCTTGGTTCTAATGAATTTCAGTAGGCTCAGGTAATCCTAAACAACCAAAGAAAAATCTCAAAAAAGCTAGAACCAAGTTCTAGCCCATTTTGCAACGTTCAAAAGCTGAAGTAGGCAAAGCAAAGTCATTCTGCAGATCAAATTTACCTATAGCTCAAAATTATTTTCCAAAAGCTTAACTGTGCAGACAAGTAATAGAGCGTTATTAGCCAATGCTATGCAAAAAGAAAAACAACTTCTCTTAAGAATTATAACGAAGGGAATCTTACTCAATGCACAACCGAACAATGGGAAACTGAACGGCATTTCGGTCTGGATTAAATCATTCCCCAGAGATCAAGTCAAAGTCCATAACATTCACGAATGAATAAGCCCATTTTATGGATAAAACAATATGTTTCAGATTTTGATCTAGAATAAAGCACCATTAAGTTGCTTAACAGAACTATTCCGAGTTTTCCATATGGAATTTCGGTTTAGCAGTTTAGGTATAGGCGAACCTGACGTATACGGCTACTGTAATCAGTATAAACAACAAAACCCTTCCCCTCATTACAAATATGATCTTCGCACAGCACCAATCAACCAACTACAAGCCAAAAGGTATTTCAAAAACCATCAAAGCACACTCCAAAAACTACTGCCGTCACGCAACGAAGACATTGGCAGACCCACGAGCCGCGTCGAATGAGAATAGCAGTGAACAAGAAGTGTAAATCAACTCGAAAAAAGACACAATCAAGTAACTCCAACTAAAACCGAGGAGCCCAAGAAGCTCAAATCCACAGATTAAACGGAAAATACGATATAGAGAGGCGAGGCGAGAAAGAGAATCGCATGCCTGGCGCCGGCCATGATGACGACGAGCTTGAAGAAGGCGGTTCGATCGCGGAAGGCCCGGGAGACCTCATCGAAAAAGGAGGCAAACCGCATCGCCGCGACCGCAAGCGAGATCTGAGGCTGAGGAAGAGAACGAGAAATGTAGAGAAAGAGTCACAACAGACGAAGTAGCAGAAATCCCAGTTCCGAAGTCTTCGCGGTCTCTGATAATGTTCTTCACCCCGTGATGCTACATATATGGACACGTGGCAAATAGGACTTTCTATTTTTAAAAAAGTACGAAAGGCTGTTGCTAAGTTTAGAATCCAAAATCTGTGCTCATCCATCCGAGAAATTACTCTCCGGACAACAAATGAGATCCTGATACACAGAGTTATATATACTATAAAATTTAAACTTTAAAAAAGTCATGAAAGAATATATATTATATCTAAATTTATATGGGGCTTTTTTATGTGAGATTTTAAAATAATTATTTTACTTAATTATATAAATTTTTTATGTTTCATAATTTTTTTAGCTTAATTTTTTATCTCATACTTTGAATAATAACATTATTATTATGTTAATTTTACTAAATTTAAATAATACTTATTATTTATTACGTCATCCGGTTCGACCGGTCGAACCGTGTAGACCGATCGAACCGTGAACCTCTCCTTGTTCCGGTTCATTGTCCAATCCGATTTTCAAAACCTTGCTTTTAGCAACTATTTTTTTGTTTAAAAAAAATTGCACAAAAAAATATTTTAGAAAACAATAATAATAATTATCTCAAATAAAACCTTAATTCTATGATTGCAAAAAAATATTTTTTCAATATAAATTTTTAAAAAAATGATAAGTAAACAACAACACAAAAGTCAAATAAATTTATAATTCTTACTTGAAAAAAACAAAGCAACAAAAAAACAATAAAAAAAACCCCCTACATGAATATAAACCTCTTCCAATAATTTAATTAAAAAAATAATTTATTTATAAAATTTAATTATCTTCTAATCAAATTAATCAAGCAAATTTACAAAAACAAGCCATAAATGTTATCAAATATGTTTGACCTTTTATTTTTTTATGTGAATAAGTTTTTCACAATTAGTCTAGAGAATAACAGCCACAAGTCCACAATAACATCAAGCCTTTTATCTCACTATACGAAATTAGCTACATAAATCTTTTTTATCCTATTGTTATAGTAAGAGTCAAATTCTCATTTATATTTAATAAAAAATAATTCATTTGTAATATTTTCCAACTAATTATTTTTAATTCTATCTCTACTACTATTAATATAAATCAAATTTAATACATCTAATCTCCTAACAAGATTATCAAAAGGCTAACATTTATATGACAAAACCATCTCAGGCAACTCTCTAATCTTATCTAACATTGGATCTAGTACAACATTTTCACATATATGCTAATTTCGCATTCTAACCCTAAGAGAAAAGACACTCATCCACATATATGCTAATTTCGCATTCTAACCCTAAGAGAAAAGACACTCATCCACTAAGCTTCCTCATCTCCATGACATTTAACTATATGTTTCTCTTTTAATAGTCAATATTTTGCACCATAAAACATTGCAAATCTCACCACCATCTTATAGAATTTTTCCTTTAAATTTGATAGATATTTTTCTATCACATAAAAGGCCCTATCCATTCCTCCACTTCAATCATCAAACTTAAATTCTACTAATATTATATCCAACTATTTCTTCACAGATAGTCATGAGAATTTAGAAAAGAACTATAATAGTTATAATTGTTTTGCAAAGTTAAATTTCATTATAGTAATCATAAGACTAATAATCCGATAGAACAACTGTGCATACATATACATTAACTAAACAAATTCTCTTATGACTCCTACCGGACATGTGCTATCACTTTTCTTAATCCGCCACTAATTCACGGGAGAAATTATTCTGTTCGGATACCAAACGGTCTGGAGACCAATCAGAATACATCAAATCATCCAGTACAAACAGTACGGAGCAAAAAAGTGATGTGACACATTCTAATTGATCACCAGAAGGCATCCGGTGTCCGCAAAATAATTTTTCCATTCGAGATCGAAGAACAAAGAAAACCTCTGGCTGCAAGATCATTCTTCAACTGCAGTCACTTCCTTGCCCACAAGTTCCTTGAAACATGAGAAAACAAAGCAAATTTCAGCATCAATAGGTAGAAGCAAAAGAAGAATGCTAAGAGAAAAGTATAGACCTCATGATACAAAGATGAACCATACAAAAATTTCACTTCAGCTCTGCTTTAAAAAGATTTGGGAGAAGGAACATGAAAGAGAAATAGTTGAGGCAATGGAAAAAAACTGAGTGGAGATTAATTTTATCCCACTTGTTTGGTTGAGCATAAATTGAGCCATTGTGGGTGGAGACATGCAAATCATAACAGTACCCCATAAACATTTTCTTTCCTGTTTTTCATCTACAGTAGGTGAGGAATGCAGTGATAAGAAATGCATTTCATAGGTATGAAAATCAAATTGCATTGGAACCAAACACTCAATTTGCAATTAAGTAAATGCATTTTTTCAAACCGGACAGGCTTCAATAACCAAAGAGCAAATATAGTATGTAGGAAATGTTGTGTTCATGTTTAACTTCAGTTTTACAATGAAAAAAGAAGCTGATGACAACACAAACTATGTGAGTTTTTCAGCCTCCATGCCCACCATATAAATGCAGCGCAAGAGGATAGTTAAACTCAAAGATTACCAAATTCTAAAATCAAAATCTTAAACTGAACTGGCGATTGAAAATATCCAGAGAAATAGAAATCAAGCACACAACATGCAACATTCAAAGTTTTTTAAGTTCTGCAAGGAAATAAAGATGAATGTATCCATTAAGATGTTTACAAATATACTTGGTTTTTCATACTTAGATTGTTAAGAAATTTTAAACAGCTACACCAATTGAATAAAAAATAATATAAGGCATGATGAAGAAGAAAAAGCAATTAACCATAAAAAAGAATGTTTGGCTCGAGTTTAATATTACAACCTCAGACATATCTGTTGATGTCATATTAGTGATGCTTCCCCAAGTAGGTTCTCCCTACAAACAGGGTCTTGGTTTCACAACACATCCATTTTGCAGACAAATCATCATTGGTAAAAGATCATAATATACAAATAACAAAGAAAAACTAAACACCATAGATGTGTTAAGGGCTTTCATAAGTTACAGTATCTAGAAATTACACAGTTAAAAAGTCTAAGAAGATGATGGCTTCACGCATTACTGGTTCATTTGTGTGACTAATCCTTCTGAAATAACTTACCTGGGATTAAAAAAATGAAAAACTATACTATCAAAACGCTAATTTTACAAAGATTTACATATATGATGCTGTGAAAAGTAAATAAAGTAGTACATAACCAAACACAAAAAACTCTTTTACCTGCAATCTCGTTCACTTAAACCATGACATCAGTAAACAAAACAGAAGCAGAAAAGTGACAACCTCAGCAAATACCAATAAGATCATTTTAATTTAGCAGTCCCAAGGGGTTCTCCCTGACAAACAGGGTCTCGGAACATGCTAAAGCTCACTAATTGGAACAAAGCATCATGGGTTTCTTCAGCTTCATTAGGTTAATACTGCTCCAGAACTAACCAAAGAGAGGAAGTAAAAAAATGAAAAGCATATAAAACAAGCAAACGAAAAAGGCAATGGCTCAGTTTTACTATCAGCTTCTCATTCATGAAATTCAGAAGCAGAACTGACATTAGATGCTGTGTAATATCCTCGCAGCCATGCGCGTTTGATCTTTAAGACATCAAATAGATAAAAGATAAGCGATAACCTATAAGTGCATCAAGTAATTGTTTAGGCAACAAGTTAGACACACGCAATCAACAGAACAAGCAAATTAACTGAAGAATAAGACTAAACAATGTTCAGCCCTTTACATGCTATGCTTCAATAGGAAAAAATGGGCTACTGAGAATATACGTGAGAGGAATGTAGCGAGATGTTTTAGAGACAACCCCAGGAAAAGAAGAGCAGTCTCCACGTTAATCCCGCAATACAATATATGCCTTCATGACTAAGCTTTTCAGGTATTGATATCTTAAAAAGCGAAAGGTGAGGTAAGGCAAGAACCAAAAGCAATCAGCTAAAAATTGAAAATTCCAAAACTTCTGCCGTTGATCTAACACGTATGAAACTGTAACACAGAACGGCTGAATACTCTTGCACGAGCATTGCGGAAACCATCGTCATTTCAATCTCGGAGACGCCCGGGTGCACCGTACTTGCAGGCAAAACGTAAGTAAAGGAAAATTCTTTGTCTATGTAATAGAAACTCTGGAAATATATTCATTTACCTAAAGCAGGATTTCAAGAACAAAATTTTTCAAAACTCGAATTCGCCCATGAACAGAGAGACTAGTTTCTCGCTGGCGGCTTGTTACCCTAAAATAGGATTTCGGTGAGAACTGAGAACTGAAGGCAACGAGTCTCTCCAACGCAGCAATTAATAGATGTTTCACAAAACCCTAGATCTATCTGTGACAGTTGGATGTAGATTCAACGGACGATCGGCTTACAGCAGAGCCAGCAAGCTTTGCGCGAAAGCGACGATTCTAGTGATAAAAGATATTAGTACGTAAGTAAATCCCACACACAGCCTGTTAGTTAAAAGCTTATGCTTCCAATTAAGAGGTTTTGGGTTCGAGTCTTTGTGTATACGTTGTGTGTATGAATTTACCTTAAATAGTCTAAATGTCCCAAAAAAAAAAAAGTAAATCCCTCTATTTTTTATCTACTTTATTGCATCACTATCATTTTTAAATAATTTAATTATATATTGAGTAATTATCTTATTGACAATATAGTAAAACCCTTTTAATTGAGAAATTATTCTTTAATGATACTAGACCAAACTTTTTTACTGTTCTTTTGCTGCATTTTTGTAAAGAGACAGTAAATATTGTGCAAAAGCGCAACAAATATTCAATAATTTAGTAAATATTAAATATTTGTTGTACTTTTATTGTCCTTTTGCAAAATGGCAACAAAAGGACAATAAAAGCGTTGCATTTCTGGACGCTTCTCTCTATATGTTGTCCGCACAGAATAAGTAGTCGTTTTAATTAGACTTCATTTTGAGTTAGTCATGCTCTTTGGAGTAAGTTTCTTCCGTATATATTTTATATTCTACTGAAAAAGTTATCTTTCATCCTAGTCAATACTTTTTTACTTTGTTTTCTCTTGATTTTGTAATGCTCTTTGGGCCATGTCTTTCTTTGATGTGATCACGCTCTTTTTGGTTACACTACTCTGGATATAGTCATGCACTTGTTTATAATTTTTTTAACTTGAATTAATCTTGTTCATTGCCTAGGTTTTCCTCTAGTTTGGTTATGCATTTTTGGTTAGGCACATCCCTGACTTAGCCAAACTCTTTCAGCTATGTCTCCTCTTCTACTTTGGTTATGCCTTTTTGGCTATTCTTTTTAGCATAATTATACCCTTTTAATTGAGTCTTGCCTCAACTTAGCCAGCCAGACGCTTATAACCAAGCTATTTTGTTTGGGCATACCCTTTTGTTTGTACACGGTTGCATGATTACACTCTTCTAACCAAATTACTCATTGCTATATTAATAGAATGCCTCTTCTTAAGCATGCTTACCATTACACAATTCATACTTGGAGTTCCTTCTAAATGCCTAGAATACTTAGTCTTTTGAATACTTGAGCCCTGTATAAATACATTAATCATTTCAAGTTTGTGGTTTATGATCTTAAATATCTCCTCATATTAATGCATTTGAATATGCATATGGGTTTGAGTCAGTACTTGTTTAGCTAGTAGGAAGTTTGGGGACGAGCCTTTGGCTATGATATGTTAACTACAACTGTTAACGAACAATTCACTTGATAATGAGAATCATCATATCATAATCAGATCTCATTTGATTATTCATGGATATTAATAACCTAAGAGCTTCTCCAGTCGAACTGCAGTCGCGTGTATGGAGTGGCTTTTTGCTCCAATGGATCACCAAAAAATACACCAATGGCATGCGGATGAACAGTCCGACGCCAATATGTTCACCTACACCAAAAAAATCACTCTATTTTTTCGCTTCGCGGGAAAGGCGGGAAACAAGAGAGTGCGGGAAAGAAGAGAAATGGAGTTCCATTGGAGATGAATTGCGGCATTTTGAAGTTTTCCGCCATTACAGAGTGAAAAATGGAGTTTTCGGTTGGAGATGCCCTAAGCCATGTTAAACAATTTCAAAATTGAATTCTTTACTTTAGGTCATAAGTAAAGCTTATTAATGTAAATACTTACAAGTTATATTCAGATCAACAAATCCTCAGTACCGCAATGCTCCATGCAGCTTTCTTATATATATATAAACAAACTCCTTTAGTGCATAATTTTAGTTGTGTTAATTATTGGCATGCATTAATGTAGCTATTTTAATGTAATAAGATAGCAATATTTTTCTTACGAGTGCCTTACGTGCGATCATATGCGCCTTTATTTTATAGATGTCATGTATTAAAATTTTAAATGCTAAAATGAATGGCACAGTTGCTATTTGATACAATTAACAGTCATGCTTATTTATTTTTTTATATTATAAACGGGTTAATTTGGTCATAGGAAATTAGTATGTAGTAGCTTATGACATACATACCTTTCTGTTTTAGCATATACTTAACTTTAAATAAAAATTATTTCTATTGTAATAAGAAACAAGCAAAGATTTTTTACACTAATACATATTCCAAATATATGAGTATATTTAGGCCCAAATAGCAGTGGCGAAGCCAAAAAATTTTAAAGGGGGGACAACTTTAACATTTCTTCGGTTGATTTTTATATTTAAATTCAATTAATTATTTTATTATTTATATGTATTATGAAAATAAATATATTCTATGATTGCAATTTCCATTCGTTTTTTTTTTTTGCAATTTCCATTCTTTTTTTTTTTTTTTTGGAAATTGCTCATAGGAAGCGTCAACACAATCATTTTTAAATTTTGGAGGGGGGCACGTACCCCCCTAGGCCTCGAAGGTGAGGTTGATCGTGAGGATCATACGGTTGCTCCGAGCTAGCTACACCCTTGCTCCTCCTGTGACCTTGGTGAGTTCTTGAAGGCTCTCTTGTTAGAGAGACTTCTAATTCAAGTCCTCAAGATACTCTAACTTTTCCTAGAGGGAGAAAAAGGATTTGAGCTTACTTGCATGTGAAAGGAATCTGGTTCTCTGCCATCTTCATTAAGCACTTTACTTTTCACACTTAATTTTTGTGATAATTACATTGTGAAAATCTAATATTAATGTTTTATTATGTTAATTAGAATTTCATCATTATAATTTTAATTGTTGTTAAATTGTTAGCTTCCACATTGGGTCATCAAACTATTTATTTCAAGGTTTTGAAAATTAAAAAAAAAAAGAATAGAATTCATGCTTTTTTAAATTACAAATTCAACTCCCCCTCTGTCTTGGTGAGCCTCGGGCTAGTTCTATGAAGTTTAACAACCTCCTCGAACTTTGACTTTAGTTGCAGCTCAATATAGTTTATGCTACAATACAGTGCAATGACATGTCATGTAGAGCTGAGCTTCAATATTGTCACTTTATATTGTAGTTTCTTTAATTGCTTCACATTGGATTTATGATCTTTTCTCCTCTTAGGGACCTTTTGATTGGTTAAAAGATGAATGCAGGATAAAATAGAATATAGAGTAAGAGGAATGATGGTTGGCTAAAGTATTAGAATTTTCTGTTAGAACTCAAGGAGGAAGATATTGAGAGATCTTCTTGCAAGATCTCTAGAGAGGGAGAGAGGAGGAGGGAGAGGGGAGAAGGAGAGAACCGTGAGCCAAAATGCTTCAAAATCTTTATTCCCTTGGCTGCCTATTACAAGCCTAAATACCTCCTATATATAGGCACAAAAGCCATACAAAGAGCAACACTATTGGCCATACATGCCAAACAAGACACCTAACAAAAGCAAACCTAAATCTAGGAACAAATATCTAACATGCTCGTCACCAGTGCCCCGCGCTCCTATGCGGCCTCCTCGTGCACCGCACGACCTCGCACCTCCAAGCGCCCCGCACTTTCAACCCTGCTCTCCAAAAACAGCCGACGCTACCTCAGTGTCTCCCGGACTCCACCTGAAGTCCAAAACTCCACCACCAAAGAAGATATGATCTCTTCTTTAAAGATCTGAACTGATCTTTAATCAAAGAACAAAGAAAATATGCTTCCAACCTGTTCAAGAACGACACCCGAAAGCCTCTGTGCTCTGCCCGATTGGAGCAGCCTCCGATCTTCTCCAATTTCTTATGCACGGACCAGCCATCTGCTGATCCCGAGATCCAGAAAGTCTCTGCTTCGGACGTCGCGCCCAGCCTTCAGCTCCTTGCGGAACTTCCTGCTGAAGTCGCATCTCGTTCTTCTAGGATCACACGAGCTAGTCCTCTTCCCATCCGGCTTCAAGATCCGTTTATGACTCAAGAAGCCGCACTATACGCTCCTGACCTCCCAGCCGGTCTCCTGTGCCGAGTCTGGCTTCACCGCCTGTCGCGCGTGTTCACGAGCGCCAGGCACCTTCGGCCTCTCGGACTGCACGGACCCAGCTCCGATTCCGACGAGACAGCCCTCTTTCGCCTCGACCACCTTCGTCAGTCACTCCCTTCACCGAGCCGAAGTCGCCTCCGACGCGGCACCGGCAGCCACCACCTCCTCTCTCTGACGGAACACCTTCCTCCTTCCTTGATCGCCACCATGGCTCTGATACCAAATGTTAGAACTCAAGGAGGAAGATCTTAAGAGATCTTCTTGCAAGATCTCTAGAGAGGGAGAGAGAAGGGAGAGGGGAGAAGAAGAGAAGCGTGAGCCAAAATGCTTCAAAATCTTTATTCCCTTGGCTGCCTATTACAAGCCTAAATACCATCTATATATAGGCACAAAAGCCATACAAAGAGCAACACTATTGGCCATACATGCCAAACAAGACACCTACACAAAAGCAAACCTAAATCTAGGAACAAATATCTAACATTTTCTTTATAGAAGTAGGCCACCTGAAAAAGTTCTTTTACTATATGATCATTGAGATTGAGCCTCAATGAGCTATTCATAGGAGACAGGTTACAATGACGAAGTATGGTGAAATAGCAAACTCATGGTGTTCATGATCATCAAGGTGATTTATTCAAAATTGGATCCATGTTCGATGTGATTCGATCAGCCATCATGAGGGTCAAATCGAGCCCCTTCCTCTCCTAGCATTTCTAGACGGAGGTGGAAAAGAAAGGAAAAGGAAGAGCTAGAACTTCCTCCAAATCGTTAGACTTCAGTGTTTTTTCAGTAAGTTGGTTATATAAGTACTTGAATAAAGACCAAAACGAGAGTTAGCATGGCAACTAAGTTTTTGGAGTTGTTGGCCTGGCGTATTGCCTGAGTGAACCTCGCAATGCATTCCCTGAGGAGATAACTCTCTTTCTGCCTAATGTTCAGAATGGCGCATAAGATCTTTAGTTGCCTCTACAGGTCGGAAAACAAGACAATTTTGGTAGTTCAACTCATTATCATTTATCAGAGTGGTCTGCCACCATCGCATCGAGTCCTTCAAGGTTATCATAAATATTTGACACTTAACAACATCAATGATATTACAAGTGTCATGGCATCATCAAAGCCAGTCAAATGCTCAATAGGGTCAATCATCCCCATATAGCTATCCGGATCGGGAAGCTTGAACATTGGAGGTATTGAATCCTTACGGATCTCAAGAAAAGCAAAGGAGAATATGAAAAGTTGAGAAACGGAAGAAATAGGTAGTCAACTGAGATGTCCCCCTAATAAAACTACTTAAAACAGTCTATAAGGCATGTTGACAGGGTTGAAAACATATAAATGGGCTCAAACAAAGTAGTAGGAGGGACCAAAGTGGCACGAGCACTAGCTTAGACTTTGTTTGAGATGACTTTCTTTCTGTTTTTTAATACAACTTTTTAGTAAAAAATTAAAAATTTTATACTATGAAACTACTTTAAGAAGCAATAAGAAAGCAGTCCCAAATGAATCCTAACTAAGTAATTAAGCTTCTTGGAAAGTTAAAGGAACTGCACTTGAGTGAAGAGCACAATTTCTGAAGAAGTGAAAAATTCACTGACATAATAGATCGACTCATCTATGTTGTCTGAAGGAAGGGTACTCACGCTTCAATCTTCCATGAATGTTTTCTTTAAGTTCGACTATCTCTAAACGAGCACTAAAAAGAAGTGAATGCAAGATTTGTATGACATTCAAAGTTGAACATGTTATGAGGAATGCTCAAAGTTCAAATGCAAGAGTTGCTGAGCTAAGTTATTTCCGGGTATTAAGTGTGATACATCATCAAAAATTTATCTTGATCAGGCACGAATCATGAAGCAAAATCAAGTTGGAAGCTTCAAGAATTAAAATTTAGACCATCCGAACTTTGATTTTTGCAAACTTACAGTCGAACTGAGCATCTCGGAAACACGAACCCAACGACACCAAAATCGACCAAATCTGAGCCCAAACGAGTCCAAATCAAAAGACTCGAAGCACTTTTGTAAGGATCAAACTACAATTTGGGTTACCAAACGGTCTCCAATCATGACATGTTTATAGTCGAATCGAGCGGCTCGACGAGACGAATCCAACGAGCTCAAGATCATCAAATTCTAATATCATTAAGATAGTCAATAGTCCATTGAACGGTGCATGATCGCAGGAATCAAGATCGACCGTTCATCTGAACCACTCCCAATTTACCCTTAATTTTTCACTTATTTACAAGACATGCCACTCAAGAATTCTATAAATAAAACCCCATTTCCCCTTGAAATGGGCAAAAGAGCCAAGAGAGAAGAAAGAAGAGAAGAAAGAAAGCTCCAGCCGCCTAGCTCCTCCTCGACCACCATCAGAGTTCTGCCGCACCACCACTGGGTTCTGCCACACCACCGCAAGACCACCAAGGGACGCCGGAGTTCTACCGCACCAACGCAGGACCACCAAGGGACGCCGGAGTTCTACCGCACCAACGCCGGACCACCAAGGGGCACCAGAGTTCTGTAGAATCACCACCAGACCATCAAAGGACGTCGAAGTGCCACCTGAAGCCCAAGGAAAAAGGAGAGAGATCGGAGATCGCTCTTTCTTCCTTGCCTCCTCAACCACCACTCGGACTTCCTGGACCACCACCTAAGGCCCAAACTTCTGCCCGACCACCACCTGAGGCCCGAACTTCTGCATGACCGCCACCTGAGGCCCGAACTTCTGTCGGATCACCACCTGACGCCCGAACTTCTGTCGGATCACCACCTGACGCCCGAACTTCTGTCGGACCACCACCTGACACCCGAAGTTCTACTAGAGCACCGCCTTACTACTACGGTCTTTTTGACCCCAGTCTCTTGCCGACTACAATCTTTCAAACCTCCGTAGCATACTACGGTCCTTCCGACCTCCGTAGCCTACCACGGTACTTCTGATCTCCATCGACAGGCAATAGTCTTTTTGACCCCTATCTCCTGCCCAGTACGGTCCTTCCGACCTCCGTCGCCGACTACGGTCCTTCCGACCTCCATCGCCAGACAACATTCTTTCTGACCCCGATTTCCTGCCGACTACGATCCTTCCGACCTCCATCGCTAGAAAATAGTCTTTCTGATCCCGATCTTCTATTGACTACAATTCTTCCGACCTCTCTCACCAGGCAACAGTCTTTCTGACCCCTGTCTCCTGTCGACTACGGTCCTTCCGACCTCCGTCGCCTACTACGGTCTTTCCGACTCTATCCTATCGACTATGGTCCTGTCGACCAAACAAATATGTCTTTGTTGATTATTGTAACTCCCACCATGTAATGCGCTCTATATGATGTACATTTGTGACATCAAGCCAAGGCCTTCTCCTAAGGAAGGGCCTCATTTGTAATCGACTGCAAATACTAGTGGATTCATTCAAACTGAGTAAGACCCCGTGGTTTTTCCCCCCTTTTCAGGGGGTTCCACGTAAAAACTTTAGTCTCTTATAAACGCTACGCTATCTCTTTCATCTGCTTGTATGCTGGATCTTCGTACAATGCTAAGACGTTAAACTATATATTTCTCTATCACCACGAATATGCCAGGACGCAACAAAGTGTTTTGGTCAAAATCCACCATAAGATGGGGGTGGGGGAATTGCCACTAATCAATAAAAGGACAATGCTTTTACACTGTGACTCTGTGAGCCTCCAATGTTACTAGGATTTAATAAAAATTCAGAGGAGAGAAAGAGAGAACGCAAGCTGCTTATGAATTCCTGGTTTCCAGAAGATTCAAAAATGCTTGAAGATACTGACTTTCACAAAAATCTGGTAATTGTAGTCGTCATGTAACAGGATAGGTGTCCAAAGATGACTAAAAGAGCAATGGTGGCCGTGAGTTGCCAAGTGGCGTGCTTTCTAGGAACAAGCAACACATGATGAACAAAATAAGATTAAAGTGTCGTGTGGCAATTGGCACAATGAGGTTGCATTAGATAACCACCAGGTAGGTTGCATTAGAGGCTGTCAGGCGACTGCAGTGGATGTCAAAGGAAACTCGGTAGGGCTCTAGATTATCCCGATGCAGTTCTAAGGCTTCGTTTGGGACAGTTTTTTTGTTGCTTCTTAAAGCAGCTTTTTAATAAAAAATTAAAATTTTTATACTAGAATTCTGTTTTAAGAAGCAACAAAAAAGACATCCCAAACGAAACCTTAAGATTCCACGCAAATGGTCCCAAACTCAGCTGGAAAGAGTTGGATCCGATCAGCAATTATCAACCAAGGCTAGATGGGCAACTAAGGTTCGACAGGGACTCCAAGGAGGTGACATGAATAGTAAGGACAAGAACAGGAAAGGAATCGTTATAGAATTGAGGTGGTATAAGATGCAAACACATTATTCCAGCAAATTATAGCACGGCCGGAAACTTATCGTAATTAGTTGCAAAACATGGCACAAGTTGAGTTAGAAGAGTTCGGAAATAACTACAAGTAACAGAGGATGAATAGGTTACAAGCACCGTCAAAGTTTTACAGAATTCTTATGAACCACTTCATCCCCAAAGAGGTCTGTAGGGAAAAAATTGAAGAGTTATTTCATACATAAAACATCACAGAGAATCAAAATTTGTCAAATATTTAAAGAAAACTTGCAAAAAATATCATCTCCAGCAAGGTCTGTAGCTGGGAAAAAAATAAAGGTATTTCACATATGTAACATCAAAATCAAAAGAATCAAATTTTCATTAATATCCTAGACGAGAAAACACCAGCTGTATAAACTGTATGAACTAAACTGTTTCCAATACAGGATATCAAAATATCTTTTCCGAGTAAAAGAACCATTTTCTGGTTGGACCTCTACTTACACATTGGCAGGAGATAGCAAAGCAAATAAAACCATATTTCAGACTTCAGAATGGACCGGTAGAAACTTGGAATTATCATTTTCTGTCAAAATTATGGAAGCTTTTGCTGATGCCTTTGGTAATAAAGACAATTGTGTAGAAAGACATTGCATCATATTTCCTGAACTACTCTCAGATTTCTCTCCACTATTACCCCAAGGAGCAACCACAGAAAAATGCTCGAGGTTACCTGACTTCATTAACAAAACACCTGCCAGCTCCATCTCATTCAAATGCCCTTTAAATCCATTCATCTTCACAAGCTTCAGATTGCTAAAACCACCTTTGGGTGGCTCCTCCCTGGGCACTTGCAAGTACATCGCTACACTGGGATCACATGCGCTCATGGGAAGCTACAAATATTCATTCTTGCAAGGTTAGAAACTCATTAATAATTCATAATCATTAGAACCAAATGAGCAATGGAAGCAATTAACCAACCTCTACAAAAAGCTTCTCCAATCTCGGGCATGGGCAGTACTTGAAAAAGCCATATATGTCAGAAAGATTACTATCTGCCATCATTGCCATCAGCAGCTGCAATTCTACCAAATTCGGAAACAACCGGAATCCAACCTCTGCGCGAGCACCCAAAGCAGCAATGCACTGTAAAGTGAGCAAAGATGTGACTTTCAATTAAAATCATCAAATTCGTATCAAGGTTCAACATAATCAAGCTAACAAGACCAACTACCTCAAGCGTGATGCTGCAGACACTGAGAACCTTCAAACTGGCCAACTCACCCAACGGTTTCACCCAATCTCCCAGCGACACCGCCGGCACGGCCATGCCGCTGCTAATGAACACATCCTCCAACATGGCGGCGCTTTGGATATGGTAAGTCTTGAGAAGTGCCCCGCTAAAGCGGAACGATCGAAGCCCCAGTGCTGAAACAGATATCTCGCTTACTTTCTTGCAGTCGACGACGGTAAGGCGAGTAAGCCTAAGCGCTGCGACCGGAACAACGACCTTTTTCAAATCGTGGCAGCGGCGGATAGAGAGCGAGCGTAGGACCGGGCAAGTAACGAGAATTCGACGGAGGGAAGCGGAACTGAGGTAAATTTCCCAAAGGTTCAAGATTTCAAGGGAATAAGAGAACATCCTAAAGGAAGGATGCGAAGAAGCCAGGTGGAATCCTCGGAGGGTAAGGCGAGAAAGGGAAGGACTCCTGAAATTGAAGTTGAGGATGTGAGCTGCAGCTGCTGCGGCGGCTCGGGAGCCGCGACGGCGGCTGGTATTTGTAGAAGAAGGCGTCAGAGTTAGGTCTAAATAGAAATCGGAGACGGAGCAGGAGGCCGCGTAGTTGAGCCAGCGCTTGATGTCAGGGATTTGGAGAGTAGAGGGGGAGTAAGTAATATGCAAACAGTCAATACGTGCGCATCCGCGGCGGCCGAAAAAATCGTCGACAAGGGAGACCAATTCGGAGTGAAGAAGAGAAGGAACGGGGGAGATATTGATAATGGACGGCTGGGGCCAGCGATACATCCATAAGCGGCGCCATTCAGATGAAAGTGTACCGGTTCGAATGGCGAATTTGAGCGGAAGAAGAGACAGTATGTAAAGGCGGAGGACATCCGGCAGCTGAGTAAGCCGGTCTACGTCGCCGGCGGAGGAGGATGAGAGGGAGAGGGACGGGTCTAGGGTAGAGGAAGAGGCGTGGGACTCCTTACGCCTCCTTTTACTCTCCATCGCTAACGGAAGAAGAAACGCCTATGCTTCAAGAAGCATGTGAAAGGCAGAACAAAGAGAACGTGCGAGGGTTTGTGTGGTGGTGGGATTTGGGTGAAGGTTAATGATAAACATGAATACTATATTTAATGCATATGGTAAATAAAAGCATGAATTTTTTTAAGGCCATTGTCAAAAGATGGCTTTAAGGTGTTATAAAGGACCCTCCTAAATAAGAATTTATTACCTAATGTTTATGGGAATTAATATGTCAAATCTTTAAGCTTTTGTTGTTTTTTTTTTTTTTTTTTTGTTGTGTCCTTGAATATTTGTGGCGACAGAGAAATATAAATTTTAGTGTTCTAGCATTATACGAGGACCTAGAATACAAACAAATAAATGAATATGGGCGTAGCATTCATAAAAGACACCAAAGCTTTAATGTAGAAAACCCAATTTGAATGAATATACTAGTGTTTGCAATTGATTATAAATGAGGCACTTTCTTGGGGGAAAGGTCTTGGTTCGATGTAGCAAACATACACTTTATATAACATAATACATAGTCAAAGAATGTCATAACAATTGCTCTTAAGAGCATGTCGATATGTTCATTTGAATAATAAGATCGTAGTGGGGGAGCGAAGGTGGTGGAAAGACCGTTGTCGACTAGCGATGGTGGTCCGAAGGACCAAAGACAACAGACGACGATGGTTGAAAGGATAGTAGTTGATGTGTGATAGTGGTCAGAAGGATCGTAATCGGCGGGCGACGGTGATCGGAGGAAGTCTCGTTAGTGGAATCCATATGGAGGTTCGACAGCAGCAGCATTGTGGTGCAGATTCGTCAGCAGTGGTGCTAAGGTGGAGCTTTAACCTCGGAGCTCTTCTCTTCTCCCTTTTCCCCTTTTTTTTCTCAAGTGAGAGTGGCATGGCTAGAAAATATGGAGAATATCAATGGCATGTTGGAAGAGTTCCATCGGATGGCTCATAGTGATCCCCTTGATTATGAATCATTTATCAAGCAGTTAGATGCCCTAGAGATGTCAGAATTAAGTGATATCGGGCTCGTTGGATTTTGTCTCATCAAGAAGCTCGATTCGACTATAAGCATGCCATATTCGAATATCATTTGGTATTCCAATTAATGTTTTGATGCTTCTAAATAGATTTTAGACCTTTGATTTGGGCTCGAATTGGATCAAATTTGATGTTGTTGGGTTCATCTCCTTGGAATGTTCAATTTGACTATAAGCTTGTTATGGGTTCCAAAAATTCGTCATCCTATAATCTCTCTGGGTCATCCCTTTTCTCTTATTGTGACGGTGGAGAGTTTTAACGAGCTTAAGTTCCAGGTGAATTTTTAAAAGGACTATTAGGTTTTAGATAAGACATTACCCACCAATTTCGCCCCATTTTGTAAGGACTTTATGTTCTGAGTTCTTGTTTCCTATAGGCGCAAGCCCCTATAGTTAATTACCCCTTCTGATAATAAGAGAGAACTTTTGATTAAGGCTAGTTGTTAAAGAGATCTGGTAGGTAATAAATCTTTTTTATAGGTCATAAATCCAGTGTATAATATCAATAATATTAGGATTTAAATTTGGAATATGAATTGTGGAGTTTGAGACTTAAAGTTTTTCACCATAAACTTTAAACTGTAGATGAAGAGAATGAACATGAGCTTGATCAAGATCCCATGGTTCCATCACCTGGTCCCTGATCTACTTAGTTATAAGAGGTAGTTGACCCAATCTAATATAAAGTACCTTATCGACAATCATAGGTTGCTTCGTCCAAGAATATCTTATAGACCTATGTCTAGAACACAAACATGTAAATGAGTATGGGAGTAACATTCATAAAAGACACCATATTTTTTACGTAAAAATTCTTTAAAAGGGGAAAAATATGGGGCATTTCCCAGTTTGAATGAATTCACTAGTGTTTGTAATTGATTACAAATGAGGCCCTTCCCTGTGGGGGAAGGCCATAGCTTGATATATCAAACATAAATTATATATAACACAATACATAGTCGAATAATGGCATGATAGTTGCTCTTAAGAGAGTATATGTATGTTCATTTGATTATTAGGATTATAGTCAACGAACGACGGTGGTCGGAAGGACCGTTATCGCCCGGCGACGATGGTGCGAGGAACTGTAGTCGATGGTGGTTGGAAGGACCATAGTAGACGAGCGACAATGGTCAGAAGGGCCATAATTAGTGTGCGACATTGGTCAGACGAAGGCTCATTAGTGGCATCTATATGGAGGTTCGACAGCGACATCGTCGTGGAGCAGATTTTTCGATAATGGTGTTGGGGTGGAGCTTCAACCTTATAGCGTTTCTCATCTTCCTTTACCTTTTTTTTTTCTTCTTATGTGAAGAATTTGTGTCGGGGGGCGGGAGGGTATTTTTAGTTTTTTAGGAGTGACACGACTAATAAATATGAAGAAGATCAAGGGCATAATGGGAGTGTTCCATATGATGACTCGTGAAGCATTTAGATGCCCTAGAGATATTAGAATTATGTGATCAAGGGCTCGTTGGATTTGTATTATCAAACTGGTCAATTTGACTATAAGCATGCCATATTCATATATCATTTGATAGTCCAATTAATATTTAAAAGATTCTAAATAGGCTTTAGACTTTTGATTTAGGCTCGAATTGGATCAAATTAAATGTCATTGGATTCATCTCCTTGAGATGTTCAATTTGACTATAAGCATGCTAAATTGGAGATAAGGTATTCCTGATTTTAATTTTTGAAGCTTCAATCTTATATTTGCATCGAGATTTTTACCTGGTCAAGACGAATTTTTGGTGACATATTAAGTATAAAATATATAACAATCAATTAAATCTTTAAATCACATTCATCATAATATAAATCCAATAATTTGAGATCCATTCTTACTAGTGGCTATGTAGTTGTATGTATTTAAAATTTCAATGAATTCTAAATATAGTGCAAAATAAATTCAGTGCATTTGAAATACTTTAAAATATTTTGTTGGTTATAGAATAAAAACCTTTATTTGTTCAATTTTAGTGTATTGAGGGAAATTAGTGATGGAGCGTGTGGCAAATAGCTGACTTTTATGTCGGTGATCGTTGACTATGGCATGGCTATTGACAATGGATGGGAGGCCAACAATCGACTAGTAATGTTTGGTTGTAACCAGTCAAAGCATTTGTGGAAATTGCCAAAAAATAAACTAAAAGATGAATTTTAAATTCAAAAATGAAATACTTTGCATTTGGTTGTCTTCCAATTAAACAATCAATTATTTAATTCCTATGTTAAGTTTATTTTACCCTCCCCAACCAACAAATCAACCATATTACATCTCTTGAAATGCTTTTTTATAGTTTTGTTTAGTTGGGAAGTAAGATGCTACAATATTCGTATAAAATAAATTCATTACAATAAAAAAAGATATTGATGATATGGTTGACTTCAAATGTGAAATATTACGATTATTGTGGAAGTAAAAGATGCCTAAGGCGTTACCATCAAGTGATTGTTACTAGTTTGCTCTATTTTTCTCCATATAAATGAGGGGTGCTAGCAACCAAAAAGGTGGGAGTCAACCTTAGGAGAACTAGTAAGACACTGACTTATTAGTGAAGATTAGCATCAACTTTGGTGGTGATGATGGGCACCAACGTTACTATCATTAACGAATGTCTATTTTCTTAGCTATTGTAATAACCTAAATTTCATTTTTTCTAAATTCTAAAAAAAATGTTTGAGGGAGCACTACGATGCTGAGCTTATTGGCGTTGTTGCATGAAGATCTCATATTTTTCGTAAGTTATGGGAATTGCGGCAATATTTAAAGTTTTTGTAATAAAAATACCTAAAACCATTACTTAAAACCCTCACCACCACTTCTTCCTCCCTCATTCCTTCCTTAGTAGGGTAAGAGAATAGAGAGAAAGCAAGTTTGGTTGGAATTTTTCATCACTCTAATTGTGAAAATTATTCTAATCATAGTACGTAACCTTAACCTTATCTCTATTTTCAATTTTTTTGTGTTTTACCTATTTTCTCCCTCCTAAAATTTATAAAAATTCAATATCTCTCATTTTTGTGATTTACCACTATGTAAATTTTGATATGTACTAGAAATCTTCACCCTGAACATTTTGATATATTTATATTGAAATTTCACCAATTGCTTTTACATATATGTCATTTTATTTGAAATGAGTAATATAATACAAATGATTAGGAGTTAGTATATTACTTTTGGACATGAAACACATGATATGCATACATTCATTATTCATTTAGTCAAAAATATATCTTTGGCAAACTATAGACGTAATGATGAGTATAATGATAGTTGCATTGGGTGTATATGATATTTGTTATTATGCTTTATATGATATAAAATGTTTGTAAAAGCAAAAAATGCTTGTTAAAAATAATTCACTAATTCAGATTGCTTGGAGAAATGTTGCCCTGTACATAGGGTAGACTGATGGGCTTTCTTTTTAATTAGGTTTGTGATATAATTCTAAATGATAATATATGATACACTAATGAAAAAAAAGAGATGGCTTCTTACATGAAATCCATCTGACTTGTGATATATGACATGAGACTGTTTCCTAAAAAAATATGATTAATATGATTGAGTTTGATTCATGTAGGAGTGGTCTATAGGTCTAGATATAGGAAAAACATCAGAGGTAGCTATAAGTCATATCTTACTTACATGTGTATATGACATGAGCATATATAAAAATTCATATAAATGATAAGATATATTGTGATATACTCATGATATAGGATATGACTGATACAATAATATGATATGAATGATCAAATTGATATAAGGACATATGATACACATGAAATATATGATATACAAGTTACATTATATATAATAGAAATGCATTAATAGTTGATATTTTATAACATGCATATAATATATATTTGATAAGTGTAAATTACATATTATTTTATATTTTTTAAGTAAAAATATTTTATTTAGTTATTTTTGTGAAAAAAAAACTCAAAATTAGCAGAAATTCTAATGAGTCTATAGCGCCACGGCATCCAACAACACAATGAAGCAGCGCTACCTTTAA